GCTCTGTCCGGGTCGTGGGGGTTTCTCTGCGTGTTTTCAGTAACCTGGTAGCCTCTGCATGCACACGCGTGTTGTTCTTGCTGTGTTGCCCCAGTAACGCTTCTAAACACCTGCTCCAGCACCTGCATGCATACCGTGATACCTGTGTACTCTTGCACTGTCTCCTTTTATCCTTTGAGTTACAATATTGTTTAGGAAAGCAATGTTTATGTATTTCTGTATACTAATACATTATATAATGCTTCTTGTGGAAAGAATGCAGGTTAATTAGAATATATAGGTTAGGATATGCAGGGAGAACTACTTCGTTGGCATAGATGCTGTGATAAACTGTTAAATCTGAATCTGGACTGAAATCTCTCGCATAAAGGTGGCGGTTGCGCTGGTTACTTGTTATTTAATGACATTTCAGTTTTAAATTGAAAACAAGTCCTAGAAGTCTGCTTGACAGTCGATGCCTGAAGGGACTTACAGGTGGTAATGGTATGCTGTTGGATGTATTCAGGGAGCACAGCTGCACAGCACAACCAACACAGACAAGGGCTGCAACGGAATGTGGTGAATGTTCTGTAAGAGAAAATTTCACAATACGTTGAGTCCTCTGCTGGGCAGATCCCTTGTGTTTAGGGAACTTCTTCAAAGTTGGTTTTTTTGGGTTGCTCTTTCACTGAGAATTGCAGAGTGTAAAACTGTAACATAATTACTGACACGTTACACTGATAGCGTTGTGGTGTCGCTTCATGCTGAGTTTTCCTTGGAATAAAAGTTATTTAGGATACAATTTCTTTGTACATTCATGTTAAATAATTCAGTTAATAGAAAGGAGCCCCGAATTACATGCTTAGCAGCTGCTAAGGAAGAAGAACATTGGTTATGGTTTAATAGTTAGTCAAGAGCTGTCTCGTTTGAGAGCTGTTACTTGGCATGCCTGTTGAGCAGCCCTTATCTGAGAGAAAGTGTAAACAAAGTGCAAGAAAGTGAGTAGTCAGGATAATGGAGGTAGAGTACACTTAGCAGGTTTGTGTTGGTTTTTTTTTGTTTTTTTGTTTTTTTCCCTTGGCTCCTTTGAAATTCTGTAGCATTAACTTCTGTAAAATAACCTCCTACCTTAACTCAAATGAACTCCCAAAGAAAAAATGGTTAATTGTTCTTACTTGGGAAAGTATTCCGAAGGATTTGAAGAGTCTAACAAAGTTAGTATTAACTGGAAAGTCTGAACAATTGTCAAACTGATTGCTGAAATGGCAATGGGGGGGGAGGGGAGGAGTGGTGAATACGATGGATTTGGCATAACTTGTTTTTTGTTTCTCCACCCTTCTCAAGAATCACACCTTTGTAGCAAAGTGAGGAAAACAATGTAGTAAAGTAGTAGCTTACCTCCCTCCCCCCCAAATTCTTGAACTAGTCAGTCCTAAAACAAACAAAAAATCCCCCACCACCAAAATACTCAGATCATATGTATTTAGTGTTTTTTTTATGAAAATACAAAGTTGAAAGGTGATGTGGTTCTGTGGACTATCGTTTGTCAAGCATTGTATTCAGAGAGTGAAGCAAGAAAGTACAGAACATGTCATATTGTTTCTGCTAAACCCTTCAAATGAACTTTTTTATGACTTGTATCACTTACTATATTGATACTAGATTTGATATTTGCATTTCTGTAGTGTAATCAGTTGAGCCTTTTGAAATCCTTTATCTGTAAAGGATTCCTCATCCACTTAGTTTATTGAAATGGTGAACTGAGACAGAGATAATACCTCCAAGACAGTGATTGCCCAGCTTGAGGCTCATAGTCAATGGATTGTTTGTATCTGCAACAGTGAGACAGAAATAATACTCGGTTGCTTGCAGCATACTGTTTGCTTGAGTGTCAGTGATGGTTAGGGACCTCTGCTCAAAGGGCTCAATTGCTGAATTGCTTGTTTGTCAAAACCTGGTTGCACACCTGAGTATCTGCATGGGCTTTACAATGAAAAGCTTGGATTTTGCCAGCTTACTATGTTAATGCATGACCTGTGGAATATTATTTGAAGTCTCAGGTCAAAGTGTTCAAGCATTTAAAGAATTTGAGAAGAAAAACTGATAAAATTTCGCTGGCATTACTGAGAATTCTTTTATTTGGTATCTAAACATACTTGAAAGTACAAAAGACTTCATATTGTAAATGAATGGAATATATTGACAGAAATTCTAAATAGCTGTTCAGCACAAAATGGCTGTTCAGATGGTAATGTTTGTGTGTGTTACGTTGAGCACGAACATTACTAAGATGCTTAGACTTGTGCTTATGGATGTACCTAACGCCTGCATGACTTGATCAGAGTTCAAAACTAGATGCTCTTAGAAGGCACCTGGAGATCTTGATTCTGTCAGTGTTCTTACAGCATGCATAATACATGCTAACAAGTACTGTTTACAGCAACACTCACTAGTGTGTTTCATCCTAGGTACAGTCTTTGTGACATAACTAACAAACAAAACACCCTAATTCTAAATGCTGTGTTTATGGAAAAGTACCTGAGCTAACCAGGAACTTGAGTTCTGTGGTGGTTTAAATTGCAAGATATTTTATAGAGGTGAATATCAGAAAGGTTAAAAATTGCTCTTTGGTGCCCTTTGATTAAAACTTTGTAATATGAATTGGTTAAATGCATTCCATTGGATCGAGAGGCTTTGGTAGTAAAGAGCTGTAAAAGTCTAAATTCATACTGTGGTCATCCTTAAGAAACAGGATTTATGCAGTTTTTCCAGTCATAGATCCCACTGACTGAGTTCATTTGAACCTCACAGGTAGAGTGTTGACAAGTACATTGAGTCCCCGTGACTTTCATGAATAGGCGCAGAGGAGAGACCTGG